CCACCTTAAGGTGGTGAAGGGGTTTCAGTGCCTGGGTGATCCCAGAGGCTATGTTGTCGGGGGCTAAATGCCCCTGGTAGGGTCTCCCAAGGCAAACAGGCTCTGGGTGACAGGTCAGACGAAGAGCGGTTCAAAAACCCTTGTGTTTGTCTCCCCCCCAGCTCAGCCGTCTTGTGTTGGAGTTTACCCCGGTAGATGAGAGGGTTGCATCCCTTCGCCTTCAGGTTGAAGGGAGGACTCTGACAGTTGTTTCGGCCTATGGGCTGGTACAGAGTACCAGGCCTTCTTAGCATCCCTGGGGAGGGTGTTAGAAAGCGCCCCTCCCGGGGATTCCATCATTCTACTGGGAGACTTAGACGCCCACGTGGGAAAAGACAGTGACACCTGGAGGGGCGTGATCGGGAGGAACGGGCCCCCAGCTCTGAACCCGAGTGGTGTCTCATTATTGGACTTATGTGCAAGTCACGGATTGTCCATAATGAACACCATGTTCAGGCATAAGGATGTCCATCGGTGTACTTGGCACCAGGACACCCTAGGCCGAAGGTCGATGATCGACTTTGTAGTCGTATCTTCTGATCTTCGCCCGCATGTCTTGGACACTTGGGTGAAGAGAGGGGCGGAGCTGTCCACCGACCACCACCTGGTGCTGAGCTGGATACGCTGGAAGAGGAGGAAGCCTGAAAGACTCGGCAGGCCCAAACGAGTAGTTAGGGTCTGCTGGGAACGTCTGGTGGAACCCTCAGTCAGGGACGTGTTCAACTCCCACCTCCGGGAGAGCTTCTCTTAGGTTCCGAGGGAGGTCGGAGACATGGAGTCCGAATGGGCTGTGTTCTCGGCCTCTATTGTCGATGCGGCTACCCGTAGCTGTGGCCGTAAGGTTTGCGGTGCCTGTCGTGGTGGCAATCCCCAACCCGGTGGTGGACACCCATAGTAAGGGATGCTGTCAAGCTGAAGAAAGAGTCCTATCGAGCTTGGCTGGCTTGTGGGACTCCTGAAGCAGCAAGCAGGTACCGTGAGGCCAAGCATGTTGCGGCCCGGGGCGGTTGCAGAGCAAAATCTCGGGCCTGGGAGAAGTTCAGAGAGGCCATGGAAAAAGACTATCGGTTGGCTTCAAAGCGATTCTGGCAAACCGTCCGGCGCCTCCGGAGGGGAAAGCAGTGCTTCGCTAACAGTGGGAGTGGGGAGCTGCTGACCTTGAAGGAGGATATTGTCGGGCGGTGGAAGGAATACTTTGAGGATCTCCTCAACCTGACAGACACGCCTTCCGTGGGGGAAGAAGAGACGAGGTGCTTGGGGCTGGATTCGTTCATCACCCAGGCTGAAGTCACCGAGGTGGTCAAAAAACTCCATGGTGGCAAGGCTTCAGGGGTGGACGAGATCCTTCCTGAGTATCTTAGAGCTCTGGATGTTGTCGGGCTGTCATGATTGACACGTCTCTTCAACATTGCGTGGAGGTCAGGGACAGTCCTCCTGGATTGG